GACTCCGTCCCTTCTAAGCACAACTCAGAGGACCTGTCCCTCCACCCAGACACCTCCTGGGGCTCCTCCCGGTCTGGGCGCCTGTGGCCGCAGCCTCAGGCCCCTTCCCTCCCTGCCCACTCCCCTGCATCCCCTGAGGCAGGGGCCAGGCCTGTCCCCCGAGAGCGCCCCCTGCACCACTCCAGGCCTTTGCCCCTCTAGTCCCTCTGCCTGGAAGGTCCCCTGCCCCCCCTCCCCCATCTGCTAGGGAACCACTCCTGTCCCCAAGCTGGCTCCCTGTCCCTGGACAGTTCCTCCTTCCTCTGGGACCCCCAGCCCTGGGTGCCGAGGGGGCTGGTGTGGCCCCCCATGAGGCACTAAGCTGAGCTCCACGCTGAGGGTCTCTGCCAGCCCCTGCCCAACGGAGGGGCAGCAGAAGTGAAGGATGCTGAGGGGGGTGCGTGTGTCTGTGTGTGTGTGTCTCAATCTGAGAGACGGGGTGAGAGACAAGATGGGGAACCAAACACGGGAAAAGACAGCCCTGAGGGAGCTCCGTGAGGCAGTGAGGTGAGCAGCCCCGCACACAGTCCTGGGGAAAAGCAGTTGAGGCGGGGGGGGGCTCCTGGGTCTCCGTCTGCTTGTCCATCTGTTGATCTGAGCGTCCCTCCTGCTTTGGGTCTGGAGGCAGAGATCTCGCTGGGCCCTTGGCTGCCCCTGACCCCCTGTGCCCCCCCTCCCCTCCAGCTGAGGCTCCTTGTAGCACAATGTGTGAGCTCTCCTGCCTTCTGGCCAGAGGGGGCTCCTGAACCCTGCCCAGGCCCCCGGCCAGGCCTCCCTAGCACTCCCTGGCCTTCACGTTTGGGCCTTGAGGCCTTTGTGCACTCGGGGTCCCTTCTCTATCAAGCTTCTCTAAGCAGCCCCCTGCATCCAGCAAACGCCTCTTCATCTCCACTAAGCCCTCCTGCACCCTCTGTGGTGGTGACCAGCACCGGTGCCCATCACAGGGCAGCGTGGACGTCCCTGGGGGCACAGCCCATGTGGGCCCTTGGGCGGTGATTTGATGACCTGAGCCAGCTCTGCCTGGGAAAGGCAGGAGGGCTCCCCAGAGGCGGCGGCAGGTGGGGAGCTGCTGCTGGAGGGTGCCGGTGGCCATCAGCGGCCTTATGTGGGACCTGCTATTAGAGAGAGGAGAGGTAATTAAGAAAGACCCCCTCTGATAAGGTGACACTGCAGCGTACACATGACTAAGTGAGGAAACAAGCAAGGTGACTCCTGGAGAGAAGAGCGTTTCAGCCAGAGGGGACCACAGCGGCAAAGGTCCCGCGGTAGGAGGGTACCCTGAATATTTGACAAGCAGCCTAGTGGCCCCGGTGGCTGGAGGTGATGCCAAACGGAGAGGAGCCGAGGATGAGGTCAGGGAGAGGAGCAGGAGAGGAGGTCGAGGGCCAGAGCACGCAGAGCCTCACGCCATGGGAAGAACTGTGCGATGGGAGGTACTGGTGGGTTCTGATCAGAGATGCGATGCGGCCCATTCTGATTTCTGCGGTAAGAGCATGACTCCGTTTGCTGTGTGAAGAACCGCCTGGCGCCCTGGGGATCAGGCTGCAAACGGGGAGCCAGCGAGAAGGCTGTGAGAAGTCCCAGTAGGCGATGGCAGTGGCTTGTCCTGGTGGTGGTGGAGGCAGTAGGCGAGGCGATGAGACGTGGTCACCTTCTGGGTCCATTTTAAGATCAGAACCCGCGGGGCTTGCTTAGGGTAGTCCCCGCAGAGGCCGGGCCAGTGGGCACCAACCGGGGTGATGGTTGAGTGCCTGAATGGAGGAACCACAGGTAGCACGGCCTGGGGTGCAGGGCCCTGGGGCCCGGCTGGAGTGCTCCCCCCCCAGCAGGCGGGAGGGCGGGGCC